AAATGTAAGGTACTGCACTTAGGGCAAAAAAATGAAATGCATAGATAACAACAGATGCAAGCTCTTAGGAGGAACTTCCTGACAGTGAGAGCTGTTTGACAGGGGAACACACTCCCTTGGAAAGTGGTGAAGTCTCCTCCTTTGGAGATCTTCAAACAGAGGCTGGATGGCCATCTGTCAGGGATGCTTTGATTTTGAGTTCCTGCATAGCAGAGTTCCTGCATGGGTTTGGACTAGATGGCCCTTGGGGTCTCTTCCAACTCTGATTTTATGAACTGCTGATGGTCCTGGAGAGCTCTCAGGAAGGAAAGAAATAATTGTAGCCAGTGGGCACAAATATGGTACCAGTCCCCAGCACATACAGGGGGAGGTTGCTGGTCCCCAAATTAGATAGCTTAAAAATCTTAAATATCTATGAGCCTTAGTAGTTGTTGTTAGCTGCCTTCAAGTTCACCTCGACTCATGGTGACCATGTGAATGAGACATCTCCAATTCTCCCTATCCTCTGCCGCTCTACTCAGGTGGGCACAGGCCTGAGCCTTAGTAGAGTGTGAGTTAAACATGAGCCAACAGTGTAATGCTGCAGCAAGAAAGCCAAAGGAATGCTGGGTTGCATCAACAAAATTACAGTGACCAGATGAAGGGAAGTCATTGTACCCCTCTATTCTGCTTTCGTTGACCTCCTCATGGAGTAGGCCTATGTATTGTTGGACACTAGTGTTTTAAAAATATTCCAGGTATGTCCAGAAGAGGGTGTTCATGATGAAAAAAGGGTCTGGAACCCAAGTCCTATGAGGAACCTTTGAGGAAGTTGGACATATGGAAAAGAGAAGGTTGAGAGGTGACATGACAGAGGCATCTTCAAATGGCTGAAAGTCTGAGGTGCGGAATATTAAATTACTTTCTTTTCTACTGCTCCTTCAATGGGTTCCTGCTACAGAAAAAGAGAATGTCCCTATAAATGGGGAAGAACTTCCTGATAATAAGAAAGTTTTAATAGTAGAACAGACTGCCACAGTAGTGAGTGAGTGCAGTGGTTGGAGATTTGGGCAGCATTCCAGGAGAGATGTGACTAAACAGAATATAGAGGTACTGTTAATTTCCTTTGATTCTGCGCTACAAGTCTGTCCAGAGTCTGAAACCTTTAGGGAGGTCCTCCTCAGTCGGGGTTGGGAAGGCTCCCCGTGGAGAACAAAGCGGCCAC